GGTGTGTATGTGAGTATGCAAGTACTGTGTGTGTGTGTGTGTGTGTGTGTGTGTGTGTAAGCCGAGGTTGACACAGGGAGTCTTCCTCCATCACTCTCCACCTTATACATGAGGCAGGGTTTCCTGCTGAATCTGGAGTTTGCTTTGAAGATTTCCAGTCAGTGCCTCCAGATGTGGGATTACTACTGGGCCACCAAATCCACCCAGCTTTTACGTGGGTTCTGAGAATCAAACGCTGCCCCTAAGGTTTGTATGTTCATGGTTTCAGGACAAGTCTTTTACCTACTGAGCCATTTCCACAGTCCCCAACTGAGGTTATTTTATTTTATGTTGAGACAGGGTCTGGCAGTATTGCCTAGCTTATCCTCAAACTGGCCATCCCCCTGCCTCCACTTCCCAAGTGCTGGCATTACAGGTGTGTGTCATCATGCCTGCTCTCCCATATGTACAAACAAAATGTTCTTTATCTGCACTTTCTAAATTGGAATCCACTAACCACATATGTCTATTGAGAGGCTAGAACAGCTAAGAAGCTGAATTTTCAAAAAAAAAAAAATGATGGTTAATATTTCTTTAATTTGTTTTTGTTGTTGTTTTTCAAGACAGGCTTGGAAGCAATCACTTTTACCCACTGTCATATATAATATGATCTAATATATACCTATGTATACACATACAGAGAGAGAGAGAGAAACCAAGTTCCTAATGCTCTTATTCCAAAGCTTGCTCTGGTGTCTGTGGAGGCACACACCGTTGATTCCAGCATTTTGGAGACTGAGGTAGGAGCAACCTTGGAGCTCATTAATTCAAAACCAGCTGGGGGCGCCATTGAGATGGCTCTGTGGGTAAAAGTGCTTGCTGCCAAGCCGGACAACTGGAGTTCAATCCCTGAATCCGGTGGAGGGAAAGGTGAGACCCATCTCCACATAGTTGTTCACTGAGTGTGTCCTTCCATGTGTGCACTGGGCCGTGGTTTTGCACACCTTTAATCCCAGCACGTGGGAGGTGGAAGCAGGCGGATCTCACGGCTGCACAAGAAACCTTGTCTCAAAAGAACAAAAATAAATAGACTGTGTAGAAAGGCAGGTGTGTGGCTCTGGGAGACTGCTTGCTTAGCATGTGTGGGGCCTCTACAAGAAGAAGAAAAAAATGTAAAAAGAAAATGATTTGGTGGAGATATATTATTTACAGTCAAAAAGAATCTATGAGAGACAGGACGCTGACAAAGGAGAGCTGATTTTTCTTGGTTTTGGAGACAGACTCTCACCTTGTAGCTCAGACTGTTCTGGTACCCACAGTGATCTCCTTCCTCAGCATCTCAAGTGCTGGGATTACAGGCTCGAGCCCCACGCCCACCCATCTGACAAGGGAAGTTGTAAGGAAGCAAACCACACAGTAGAAACTAGGAAGTGTAGGAAAGACGTAGACGAAAGGAGCAGGGGAAGAACAGAGCAGCCGAGAGACGATTGGAGAATCGGCGAGTCACCCTGGAGTGAGGATTCACGAGCTTCTACAGCTGAGGTCCCGTTTTTGCCCTGTTAGAATCGTAGTCTCTGGAAGCTCCGTGCCTTTGATGTCCTCTGTGTCAATTTACAATAGTGCCAAACTGCCAAATAAGGGGGCACCCCTGCTCCCCACTACTCTCCAACCCCCCCCCAAACAACCCTGGAGTTTGGGCACAGCTGCTGTGGGCATAGTTTTTGCATGCCCACATACAAAGAATGAGGGCATTTATGTTCATACTTTCTGCCCAGGGATGCATCTGAGATGATCTTCCAAGCCCGGGGCAAATGGAGCCCATGGAGCTTTGAACATCCTTTACAAAGCACAGGGCCAAATACTGTCTTTGGAACCATTGAGTTTTTCCAGAGAAAGTACAAAGAGGATCATGAGCAAAGTCCAATTATATTTATGCATGAAAATGTCACCATGAGGGACTGGAAAGATGGCTCAGCAGTTAAGAGCACTGGCTGCTCTTCCAGAGGTCCTGGGTTCAACTCCCAGCACCCACATGGTGGCTCACAATCGGATGCCCTCTTCTGGTGTGTAGGCATATGTGCAGACAAAGCACCTGTACACATAAAAATAAAGTTCTTTTTTAAAAATGTCCGTGTATGGGTGTTTTGCCTGCTTGTACACCTGGGCACCGCAAGTGTTCAGTGCCCTTGGAGACCAGAAGAGAACAGCAGATCTTGTGGAACAGGAGGTACAGTGCTTTGTCAACAATCACGTGGTGCCAGAAATCAAACCCAGGTCCTCTGGAAGAGCAACCAATGCTCTTCACCACTGAACCATCTCTCCAGCCCCTAAAGATATTTATATCATAGTTTTAAGCACAGGGGTTATCTTTGAAAATGTTCTCACATAGGTTGAGCATGGGGGAAGTACTGCACACATTTAATCTCAGCGGAGGTAGTTGGAGGCCAGAGACTTCTGGGACAGCCAGGACTACACAGAGAATTTCTGTCTCAAAAAAAAAAAAAAAAAAAATGTTCTCACAACTCCTTGAGGAATAGTTAAGACAACTAAACTTTCTTTATTCTGAGTACAGTTTGGCAATATCTAGCCACATTTTAAACACACATGACTTAAGCCCAACAATCCCAACATTTCCAAACCTGTCCTGTACAAGAATGGTCAATGAAGCACTGTTTATAATAATTGAAAAAAGAAGAAGCTGGGCAGTGGTGGCACATGACTTTAATCCCAGAGGAAGAGGGGATTGGGAGGCAGAGGCAAGCAGATCTCTGAGTTCAAGGCCAGCCTTGTCTATAGACCAAGTTTGAGGACAGCCAGGGCTATACCGAGAAATCCTGTCTCATCGAGAGAGAGAGAGAGAGAGAGAGAGAGAGAGAGAGAGAGAGAGAGAGAGAGAGAGAGAGATTATTTGTTAAGAAAGTAACTAAATAGTACAAGTATATAATGGTATACTATTTGTGTGTGTGTGTGTGTGTGTGTGTGTGGCAACTGTATTAATTACAGTATTACAGTACAGGGGCACATGATGTCACACCCAGCATTTTATGTGCCAGCTGGAGATTAGAACTCAGATCCTTATGCTGTGCATCAAGCCCTTTACCCACTAAGCCATGTCCCCAGACCACAGTATAAAACTGTTAAGAGAGTGAGGGTCAACATAGTAGTACACATCTGCAATTCCAGCACTTAGGAGGCTGGGGCAGCAGGATCCTGAGGTTCAGGCCAACCTGGGCTACACAGAAAGATTCTGTATCAAAAAAAAAAAAAGCAGAAGAACAACAACAATGAAAAGAATGGACAGTGTGTGCACACGTCCATACACAATGAAATGGAAGCAGGACTGACACACACACGATGAAAGGAATGGACAGTGTGTGCACACGTCCATATACAATGAAATGGAAGCAGGACTAACACACATGGTTAAAATTTAAAAGGCAGAGGCAGGTGGATCTCTGTGAGTTCAAGGCCAGCCTGGTCTACAGAGCTAGTTCTAGGACAGCCAAGGCTACACGAAGAAATCCTGTCTCGAAGCCCGTCCCCAAAATTTAAAAGGCACATTGAAGAATCATATACTGTATAATCCACTTTAGGAGTGTGTGGGAGGTGTTTAAACAAAGGAAATAAACAAGGGCTAGCTCACTGGATAGAGGCACTTGCTGCTCTGCCTGGTGGTCTGGATTTGATCCCTGAAACCTATGTAAAAGCGGAAGAAAAGAACCAGCTACACAAAGTTGTCCCCTGACCTCCACAGAAGGGCTACACACACACATCATGCACCCACACATACAATAATAAATAGATAAAATTTAATTAATAAATAAATTTTGAAGGATTGCTCCCAAACCATTCATATTTGTTATTGGGAGAATGGTGTAGTCAATATGAATCATAATTAAGGCATATTGTTTCTGTGATTTCTGTTTAAGGAAAACGTTTTAATAGAGTCTAAAGAAAAGCCTTGGAATTAAGCTCTTGTTCAGCTTCCATGTTCATATCACTTTAGGCTGAGCTAGGAAAGTAAGGTGAAAATATACTTTCCCTGAATTTCTCACCGATAAGCCACAGCAAATTACCTCAGCTTTTCTTCTAGACATTGTTAGTTTTGTCAGAGACACTTCTGCCTAAAGGAACTTGAGGTTCATTTCCCATAGGAGAAACACTCTTTGTAAAATGAAATACATAACAATGAATTATGTCTCTCTGGAGATTCTGCCCCCTTCTATTCCCCCCATCTCACCCTAAGCTTCTACAACCTGGGAACTGTCCAGGTACAAATTAACATTTTAAAAGACCTCAGATTGTTCACACAAGCAGCTCTATTATTGGTCGCTCTTTTACACTTTTGGTTTGCTCAAAAACCGCACATTCAAATTGGATCGCCTCCACTCCAGCTCTTCGACACACAGGTATTGTGGACAAGAGGCCGCTTTTTTGACTACAAACTGCCTTATTCATTTAGAATAACTTCATTCATAAGGTTCTTTGGACAGCTAGTTTGTGCCCATCACAGACATCACAAAGCAATTTGCCTACCTTGTCATTAATTCTTAAGCGACCCTCATTTAACAGATAAGCAAACCAGCCTCTCAATGAAGTTACTTGGCCAAGATCACACAGCTTGTGGCGGGCTTGCTGGGAAATTTAAGACTTGGAGTAAACAAAGGTGATTAACGGTTCTTTTACACAGTTTTTGGTTACATTCGTTTGAAAAGCCAAGGAACATTTTAAGGTTGTAAAATAATAATAATAATAATAACAACAACAACAACAATAGCATAGCAGCATTCCCTGCCGGCTTGCATCCCCTCTCATTTTGACTTCACTGTGCAATCATATGGACCGTCTCTGTTGATTTACCACCAAATTTCTAAATGTTCCTTAAAACCAATGTGTAGCGTAGCACCTTAATGTTACCCAAACACCACCCTCCCCGTTAGCTCTTTAGGTTCTTTTCTACCCAAATCCGGAGCCTCCTTCCCTGCTCCGGTTGACAGCTCTGTCCTGCCTCCTTCTTTGAGGTGTAGAACCGGCTGAGGCTGAGGCTCACTTTGGTCCTAACACACCCTGCAGTGACTGGCGGCCAGGGCTCAGGGATGGACGTGGTACAGCCGGGCTGCGAGGGAACAGGCTGCTCAGCCACCTGCCCTTTGTGGGCTACGGGGCAAGACGGGCTTGGGGTAAGACAGCTGGGGTAACACTCAGGGCTGAGGGCTGAGTGAGAGATCCAGCTCTGAGGTGAGAAACGGGGCAGGGCCATCGTGGGAGAAAGGGTCAAGTCTGAGGCCAGGATGGGGTTTGGTCCTAGGTGCGGTCCAGGTCTGGCATGTGGATGGGGAGAGGTGGGCGAAAGAGATCGAGATCTGAGGTGATGGGGCTAGAGGGTCTGGGGAGGTCCTGGGGAGGATATGCAGGTCTTAAGTTATGGTTTGGATAAGGGTGGAATTGGAAGAGGGATCCAGGTTTAAGGTGGGGGTGGGGATGAGGCTGGGGTGGGAGAAGGATCCAGGACTGAGATGGGGTGGGGGATGAGGCTGGGATGGGAGAGGGATCCGGGTCTGAGGTGGGGTGGGGATGAGGCTGGGATGGGAGAGGGATCCGGGTCTGAGATGGGGTGGGGATGAGGCTGGGATGGGAGAGGGATCCAAGTTTGAGGTGGAGTGGAGATGAGGCCAGGGTGGGAGAGGGATCCAGGTATGAAGTGAGGTGGGAGCGAGAGCAGAGGGCTTCAGGTGAAGTCCGGAGTGGCAGACAGCTGATGGGTCTTAGTTTGGCTGGGTGTCGCGGCTGGGAGTGCCGGGGTAGAACTGCCGCTTCCCTCCCGCGGCAGGCAGCGAGCGCCCTGTGGAAGTCTCCGGCCCGTCCTGGACCCGCGACTGTGCTGCGACAACAGGGCCGGGCCTTGTCCTCCCGCCTGGACCCAGCTCAGAGCTCCTGCCCGGCCAAGCGGCTGGAACGCGGCGACAGCAACTCCTGCCAACTGCAGAGCCCTCTGCCCGCAGGCGATCGGCCTCTCCCCGCCACACGTTCCTAGTGAAAGTAGGGCCAGGTCGAGCCCCGGGTAGCACCAGAGCTTCAGGCTTCCCAGATGCGGTCTCCTGGGCCTCCCGGATTGAGGGTAGCATTGCCGGCAGCTTCCTCCAAAGCAGGTGGGAGCAACACCACCCCGTTCCAAAACCCCTCTCCATCAATATCTCCAGTCGCCGTCCCCGATCTCCCTTATAAAGTCTACATCAATGCGAAGGGGGTTCAAGACCTCAAGAAAACGTCCTCTATCTTTACAGAGGCCAGCGGGGGTCTGTTTCCTACTAACCGCGGGATCGCCTTATTGGTCCCTCGCCAATTCAGCCCTTCCATTCATCTTTCCCCATTCTCTCCAAATGTCGGTTCCACTGTGGGCTAAATAAAATTTTAATTTACATTATTACAGATTCAAAACTACTATTCACAGAGTGTCTGTGTAGTATAATGCATCTGTATTTCCTTTATCAGTTTTTCATTTTTCCCCTGGAATCAGTTATTGTCACAATTTTTGGTTTATTAAGGTTTCTATGTGCCCATCATTAATTTTCTTTCCAATGATCGTCGGAACTGTAAATATTACTCGGCCTGATCAGGCTCCATGCATTTCCTGTTGTTTCTTGGAAAAGCCTTCCTAATATAATCTTAGCTATTGAATTCGAAGCTCGTTGCACACTGTTCTGGGATTTCTCTTCGCTGTCATGCTGGGATTCCCCCACCTCCCTCTTTTTTTTTTTTTCTTTTGGTTTTTCGAGACAGGGTTTCTCTGTGTATTTTTGGTGCCTGTCCTGGAATTCTCCCTGTAGACCAGGCTGGCCTCGAACTCACAGAGATCCACCTGTCTCTGCCTCCTAAGTGCTGGGATTAAAGGTGTGTGCCACCACCTCGTAAGGAGATTTCACTTCTTGTGTGAGTCCCTTCTGCTCTGGATTCTATGTTTATTTTTCTCTTATATTTTGATAGAGCACATCCTCCAGTAACTTTCTGAAAAAGGGTAAGATGATAAAATTTTTTAAAGCTCTTGTCTCAAAATATCTTATTTGAGCACCTCACAAATTAACGTGATGATTTGTTTCAGTATATAATAGTAAGTTGGAAATTACTTTTCTTTTTTTAATTTATTTACTTTCATTTTATGTGCATTGGTGTTTTGCCTACATGTATGTTTGTGTGAGGGTGTCAGATCCTGGAGTTATAGGCAGTGATAAGCTGAGACGTGGAGGCTGGGAACTGAACCCTGGTCCTCTGGAAGAACAGCATGTGCTCTTAACCACTGAGCCATCTCTCCAGCCCCAGAAATTACTTTTCTTTAGAACTGTGACTCATATCCTACCTTCCAGTTTAACTGCTGAACAATTTAATGAAATCCTTTTTTTATTTGCATGTAGAAATGCATTTGTGTGTGTGAGAACCTGTTTTCATTGTTAATTCTCGGAAGCTTCTATTTTTGGTATTCTGAAAATGCAGGAAGACATGCTTTGATGTACATCTTTTCATTCGTTGAGTTAGACGGGCTCAATTCAGGAACTTCCGAGTTTAGTTCTGAAACCTTTCTTGTGTTCCTTCGACTCCCTTTACATTGTTCATTATTTTCTGGTCTAGCTTCATTTCTCTTGCTGGGATAAAAAAGCAACTCAGGGGAGAAAAGGTCTACTCTTGATTACAACTCCAGGTTACATATGGTCCATTATTGTGGGGAAGTCGAGGCACCAGGAACTCAAAAACAGCTAGTCACATGACATCCATAGTGAAGTAGAGAGAAAGGGGTGTATATTATTTGTGTTCAACACGGTCTTTAAACTCACCCAGTCCATGAAACCCTTGTCTAAGGAATGGTACTGCCCCCAGTAGCCTGGATCTTCACACATAACCAAGATATTCTCCCACAGAGCTTCCCACAGGCCAACCTGATCTAGCCCGTCCCACTCTGAGACTCTCTACACAAGTGATGCTAGATTGAGTCAAGTTGACAATTAAAACTAATCATCACAATCTCTACTCTCTTTCTCTCTCTCTCTCTGTCTCTCTCTCTCACACACACACACCACCTCTGTTTTTTTTTTTTTTTTTTTTTTTTTTTCAAATTCCTGCTATTTGTGTATTGGAATTTTCAAATAATTCTATTCCTTACCTTTTTTCTCTCATACACCTCATCTTTTTTTTTCTACTGTGCAAATTTCCTCCATCCTACATTTCTTCATTGCCCTGTTTCCAGTTTTGGCTTTCAACAATGGTATGCTAATCAATGTTTAGCAACCACCTCTTAAGGAATGGGAGGAAGGAAAGAAAGGCCTTGGTTTGTAGGGATTGCCCACTTGCATAGTGTAAATCTGTCCTTCATGTTGATTTCAAGCTTACCAAGATTATACCACTGAGCATGGTGCTGGGAAAAGAACCGTAATAGTAAATCATATTAATATTTCTAAGATATAGTTTAGATGGACATAATCTCAAGAGCATATACAATAATATATAATTTTACTGTAAAATCATCTGAGATTAGTGTAACAAAGTAATCTCACTTTGTTGCCCAGATTGGCCTCAAATTCCTGGCTCAAACCATCCTCCTAGGCCAGCCTCGGGGGTAGCTCGGACTAGTTGAACACCACCAATACACCCATTCCTTGTCCATCAGATCTACTTTGGGTTGCATTATTGTCATAATAGAGGTAGAGGCAGACAGAATTCTGAGTTCAAGACCAGCCTGGTCTAAAGAGCTAGTTCCAGGACAACCAGGACTACACAGAGAAACTCTGTCTGGAAAGACAAAAGAACAAAAACAAACAAAAAAAGAAAAGAAAAAAAAAGACAATCCAAACAAAACAAAATCTTCATGAGAAGGGCTGGGAGGTTGACAAGGTGGCTCAGTAGAGTAGGCAAAGTGTTTCCCTAAAAGGCCTGATGACCTAAATTCAATTCCTTGGACCCACATAAAGGTAGAAGGAGAGAACTAATTCCACAAAATTGTCCTCTCACACATGTACCAGCTGTGTGTGTGTGTGTGTGTGTGTGTGTGTGTGTGTGTGTGTGTGTGTGGTAATATTTTATTTGTGCTCAAATGTAATTTTATTTGTATGTTAATAAATAAAAGTGCCTGGGGGTCAGAGCTAATAGCAAGCCATTTAGCAGAATTCTGGCAGTGTTAGCACACGCCCTTAATCCCAATCACATGACAGGCAGAATCTCTGTGTGTTCAAGGACACCACCAGCATGGAGACACAAGCCTTTAATCTCCAAACCAACCATAGAGACAGGCAGTGACGAGGAGGTCATGTGATTAGATTTATAACCAATGAGAAGGCAGAACAGAAAGTCAATAAAATGACAGACACACAGGAAGCAGGTCTCTTTCTCAGGAAAAGACAGCAGTGGCAGTCGGTGGTAAGATGTTCTTTCCTTCTAACATGTAGGGTCCAGGGATTGAACTCAGGTCATCAGGCTTGGCAGCAAGTACCCAAATCTGCTGAGATATCTTATCTGTCCCACAGTGAGATCTTGCTTAAAATTAAAAATGCATCAGTAAATGAAATATAAAATGTATGTAAATATGCTTAAAAATTATAACTGAAACATAAGCTTCCCATGTAAAGCATCTATTTATGCCTGTCATTAGTGTATTTTTTTCATGGACTTAGTACACATTTTATCAGAGTTGTACAATTTTCTGACCTAAAATATTTAAGGTTATGATTCCATTTTAGATTGAGATCATATAACCCTCTAAATGTAGAAACAGTTCTAGAAAGTTGAAATAAGTTCTCCAATATCTATGCATGGGGCTTGAAGCAAGGATTAGATACCTCTAGGTTTAGCTCTCACTTCAATATCTTCTAAACACTATAGATGTTTACCTGGAGGCACGCTCAGAATTGCACTGAGCGGCATTGGACCAACGTTATGCTGGTATGTTTGTTCTTTACACTAATCGGTTCAACAGGCAATTATTGAATGAATACCTATTCTACAGTTGGCTTTAAAGACACACAGATGATATTGGATTCATTCCCAACCTTCATTATCTAGTGGAAAGACAAGTACAAAAATTATGGGAAACTTATCCTATCTGGGAAGACTGAGAGAGATTTTTTCACTTCATAGATTCTGATTACAATGATAAATTCATATAACTTTACATTTGGGGGCATGAAACATCTAAAGTATATGAAAAGTACAGGAAATATCTGTAGAATGATGCTGAAAGTAGTGTGACCAGAGAATGGGAATATGGCCAAAAATAGATACATAAAGGTTGCCAGGCAGTAATGGTGCACACCTTTAATCTCAGAACTGTGGAGGCAGGGGCAGGCAGATCTCCTTGAGTTCGAGGCCAGCCTGGTCTACAGAACAAGTTCCAGGACAGCCAGGGCTATACAAAGAAACCTAGTCTCTAAAAAACCAACCAGCAGGCGGTGGTGGTGCACGCCTTTAATCCCAGCACTCGGGAGGCAGAGCCAGGCAGATCTTTGTGAGTTTGAGGCCAGCCTGGTCTACAGATCGAGATCCAGGAAAGGCACAAAGCTATACAGAGAAACCCTGTCTCGAAAAAAACAAAACAACAAACAAACAAACACTTAAGATAAATGTTAATAAGCATTCTGATTTTTCAAGGCCTTTATCTGAAAAAATGAGGGCAATTAATTTACTACAAGGTCTCACACTGGAGCCCTGGCCAGAACTTGCTACAGTGACCAGACTAACCTCAAACTTTGGGCAATCCTGTCTCTGCCTCCCAAGTGCTGGTATTACAGGCATGCACCACCATACTTGGCTCTATCTTAATAATTTCTCCCACTGAAGTTGGTTCAGTGGTTAAGAGCACTGACTGCTCTTCCAGAGGACCCTGGTTTGATTTCTAGCAGCCACACGACAGCTCACAACTGTAACTCCAGTTCCAGGGGATCTGACACCCTCACACAGACAGCTATGCAGGAAAACACCAATGCATATAAAATAAAAATAAAGAAATCGTTAAAAAAAAAAAAAAAAAAAAAAAAAAAAAAAAAAAAAAAAAAAAAAAAGGAAAATAAAATGCTTTTGTTTTTCCTTTTGAAATGGGGTCTTATGGACCCCAGACTGGTCTTGAACTCCTCTCATTGTTGAAGATGTTCTTGAACTGACCTGCTTTCATCTCTCAAGTGCTGGGGGTACACAGTGTGCCACCACACTCTGTTTATGCAATGCTGTGGAAGGAACCCTACCAAGTCAGCTACATCCCCAATGCTCTAAATATCTCTGAAGCAAGAACCAGTAGCTGGGCTCTTAAGAATGTCTTCATGATGGGGCTGGAGAGATGGCTCAGAGGTTAAGAGCACTGGCAGCTCTTCCCGAGGTCCTGAGTTCAATTCCCAGCACCCACATGGTGGCTCACAACCATCTGTAATTTGATCTGGTGCCCTCTTCTGGTGTGTAGGCAGAAT